TTCCCTCCTGTCAAATCTACACTTCGTAACAAGAAGAAGCCCACAAAGCACTGTTTCTTTTGTAGAAAGAAAACCGGATTGGCAACAAGTTTTGATTGCAGGTAATTAACCATATAACAGCTTTTCTTTTTGTACTTAGTCAACAGCTCTAGCCATTGGCAAATTAAAATTTAGCCCTGGCAGATTGTGCCATATGCCCTACAGACTTGCAGTGGTTAGTAGCATTGGACTTAAAAATGTAAGCCCTGGTTTAGTCTATTCTGCAGGGTACTTATGTATTTATTTGTTTTTGGTCTATGCTTCAATGGTATGACTGGGTTCGTGTGTCAAGAGAAAGTTATTTCAGTTGTGATGATCAGCAGCACTATAATGTAAGAGACTGAGCAGAGACCAGGTAGAAACTATATAGCTGAACTACAAAATCTTACTTGTTACTGTTCTTGGCAGTGCTAAACAACAATAAACAAATTAATGATCAACCAGGCATGGTTTGTCTTGACATGGATGAAGTCTTTCTTTTATAAGACAAGGCTCAAACTGAATTAAGTCTTATACACTGACCAGCCACAACCTTAAAACCACTGGCAGGTGAAGTAAATATCATTGATTAGATCAAAACAATGGCACCTGTCAAGGGGTGGGACATATTAGGCAGCAGGTGAACCGTCTGTTCTTGAATTTCATGCGTTGGAAGCAGGAAAAAGGGGCAAGCATACAATCTGAGTGAATTTGACAAGGGCCCAATTGTGATGGCTAGAACCCCTCAGATCATCTCCAAAATGGCAAACTGGTGCAAGGAAGGACAGCCAGTAAACCGGCATCAGGGTCATTGGCACTCAAGGCTCATTGATGCACATGCAGAGCAAAGGATACCCCGTCTGGTCCGCTCACACAGAACAGCTACTGTAGCTCAATCTCCTGAAAAATACAGGGAGTGCAGAATTATTAGGCAAATGAGTATTTTGACCACATCATCCTCTTTATGCATGTTGTCTTACTCCAAGCTGTATAGGCTCGAAAGCCTACCAATTAAACATATTAGGTGATGTGCATCTCTGTAATGAGAAGGGGTGTGGTCTAATGACATCAACACCCTATATCAGGTGTGCATAATTATTAGGCAACTTCCTTTCCTTTGGCAAAATGGGGCAAAAGAAGGACTTGACAGGCTCAGAAAAGTCAAAAATAGTGAGATATCTTGCAGAGGGATGCAGCACTCTTAAAATTGCAAAGCTTCTGAAGCGTGATCATCGAACAATTAAGCGTTTCATTCAAAATAGTCAACAGGGTCGCAAGAAGTGTGTGGAAAAACCAAGGCGCAAAATAACTGCCCATGAACTGAGAAAAGTCAAGCGTGCAGCTGCCGCGATGCCACTTGCCACCAGTTTGGCCATATTTCAGAGCTGCAACATCACTGGAGTGCCCAAAAGCACAAGGTGTGCAATACTCAGAGACATGGCCAAGGTTAGAAAGGCTGAAAGACGACCACCACTGAACAAGACACACACGCTGAAACGTCAAGACTGGGCCAAGAAATATCTCAAGACTGATTTTTCTAAGGTTTTATGGACTGATGAAATAAGAGTGAGTCTTGATGGGCCAGATGGATGGGCCCGTGGCTGGATTGGTAAAGGGCAGAGAGCTCCAGTCCGACTCAGGCGCCAGCAAGGTGGAGGTGGAGTACTGGTTTGGGCTGGTATCATCAAAGATGAGCTTGTGGGGCCTTTTCGGGTTGAGGATGGAGTCCAGCTCAACTCCCAGTCCTACTGCCAGTTCCTGGAAGACACCTTCTTCAAGCAGTGGTACAGGAAGAAGTCTGCATCCTTCAAGAAAAACATGATTTTTCATGCAGGACAATGCTCCATCACACGCGTCCAAGTACTCCACAGCGTGGCTGGCAAGAAAGGGTATAAAAGAAGAAAATCTAATGACATGGCCTCCTTGTTCACCTGATCTGAACCCCATTGAGAACCTGTGGTCCATCATCAAATGTGAGATTTACAAGGAGAGAAAACAGTACACCTCTCTGAACAGTGTCTGGGAGGCTGTGGTTGCTGCTGCACGCAATGTTGATGGTGAACAGATCAAAGCACTGACAGAATCCATGGATGGCAGGCTTTTGAGTGTCCTTGCAAAGAAAGGTGGCTATATTGGTCACTGATTTGTTTTTTTGTTTTGTTTTTGAATGTCAGAAATGTATATTTGTGAATGTTGAGATGTTATATTGGTTTCACTGGTAATAATAAATAATTGAAATGGGTATATATTTGTTTTTGTTAAGTTGCCTAATAATTATGCACAGTAATAGTCACCTGCACACACAGATATCCCCTAACATAGCTATAACTAAAAACAAACTAAAAACTACTTCCAAAAATATTCAGCTTTGATATTAATGAGTTTTTTGGGTTCATTGAGAACATGGTTGTTGTTCAATAATAAAATTAATCCTCAAAAATACAACTTGCCTAATAAATCTGCACTCCCTGTATAATGCTGTCCGTGATAGAAATGTGTCAGAACACACAGTGCATTGCATTATTGGGTGTATGGGGCTTCATAGCTGCAGACTGGTCATAGTGCCTATAAAGACCCCTGTCCACTGCAAAAAGCGTCTTTAATGGGGACCTGAGAGGGAGAACTGCACTATAGAGCAATGGAAGAAGGGTGACTGGACTGACTTGCGTTGTCGTTTTGATCAGATTGATGGCAAGATGTTTGTGCGTTGTTTACCTGGCGAAGATAGCAGCAGGATGCACTATGGGAAGAAGGCAGTGTTATGTTCTGGACATTATTCTGCTGGGAAACCTGGGGTCCTGGCATTCACGCGGATGTTACTTTGACACGTACCTCCTATCTAGAGATTATTGGAGATTAAGTTCACCCCGTCATGGCAATGGTGTTCCCTAATGACAGTGGTCTCTTTCAGTGTAATAATGCACTCTGCCACACTGCAAAAAGTGATCAGGAATGGTTTAAGGGACATGACAAAGAGTTGAAGGCATGACCTTGGCCTCCAAATCCCCAATACAATTAAGTAGTTGTGGAAGGTGCTGGAAACAAGTCCTATCCATGGAAGCATTTAAAGGATCTCCTGGTAATGTCTTAAACCAGATTCCACAGGACTTGTTCAGAGGTCTTGTGGAGTTCATGCTTCGAAACATCAAAGCTGTTTTTGGCAGGACAAGGGAGTCCTACATGATGTTGGGCAGGTGGTTTTGATGAGGCTGCACAGTGTAGTCTTAAAGTGTATTACATGCAAGCAGACTTAATTGCAATACCCTACCAGATAAATGTGACATCAGTGGCAACATTTCAATTGGTACTAGACTTCTTGGTGGCTGTACTTGTAATTCAGTTGGTGCTAAAGCACATTACTGCAGTTATTGATGCAAAGAGTCTTTGGGTAATGTTCGGGGTTTTTTGTTTTTTTTTTGTGTAAATTTTTCTTAATCTCTTCCAGATGTGGGAATAACTTCTGTGCAACGCACCGCTATGCAGAAACTCACAACTGTTCATATGACTACAAGACTGCGGGAAGACAATATTTGCAAGAGGCATGTCCTGTTGTCACTGCACCAAAACTTCCCAAAATCTAACTCCAGTCAAGACCAAGAAAAGGATTTCCTTTTCATACATTATTTATTGTCTCACCCCCCCCACACACACACACAAATAAAGATTTGCCAAGTCACTTAACGTCTACTCGGCTATCATAATGTGAACATCATCTTACATGGTCAGTTGTTTGATCCTTTAATCAAAGTCTAACAAGGGTTTTTTAAAAAGAAAATATTTTCACTATGATGATTAACTTTTGTTACCTCACGTCTCGTGTTAAGTGTTTTATATTGGGGAGAAAATGCTATTTCACTAGACAAGTCTTTCAAAAGATGCACTTTACTGAATATTTACTGTATAAAGATACAGTGCTAAGGAGTCATTTATTCATATTTACTTGTGGTTGACTGGGGAGGGGGGGTTCTTGTTTTTCGTTTTTAATTTAAATTGTCTGTCACTTTAATCATTTTTTTTTTTTCTCCTAATTGGCATTATAAACATTCTAATTTCAATGTATATTGTGACCACAGTACCAAGCAACACTCTATGGTTTGTAATGAAATATATATTGGGCCACAAAGCCATTAAGTGAAATTCATTTTAAACTTTTGCAAACCTATATTTTAAATGTCTTTCCTTTAAATGATTTGTCCTCCTAAAATTATAATAAATATTGCCTTTTTATTACTTGTTGTTTTTACTTTTTTTGTGTCAACATATTTATACATGTTTACATACATTTTTCTAATTTATTTAGAGCCTGCTCAGGCAATGTTATACAATGTACTGTAGATTGTCCAAAATAAACATTTTAAACTGTAAAAGCCAAACTGGCAGCATAGTCAACGTGGATTAAAATGTAAGATTCACTTTGATATAGCGCATATCCATCAATTTTCAAAAATACAAAGGAGAATTGATAAAAAAAAATCATGTAGAAATCCAGAAAGGGGGACAATCGGAGACTAGTGAAGGTAGAGTAGGTCGGTAACCAGCCTTATTAGTCTTTATAGAGAGAGAGACAGGCAGGGTTATGGACTAATGGAAGTGTTGCAGCCAAGAGTCCTGTGTCTTCATTAGAATTGTGCACAATTTGTGGTTTGTGGGGGGGGTTTTGTTTGTGTTTTAGCTGGTACGAATTGATCAAATTACATATAATCCTTGCATAAATGAATTGGTCTATTCTGGTCTTAGTCAAGAAATACGACTTCACAGGTAAATCCCATACAAATTGACTTGTTTGGGTGTATATTAAAAGGAATTTGATTAATTTGCACCAGCTGATATATTGTGTGCGTGTCTAAAAGTCTAGTATTCATAAATGACAATAGTCTTGTAAGTAAATTGTAACTTGTTCATTTCCTACAGCCCTGTTTTTTGTTTGCGTGCGTGCGCGCGCAGCACATGCAATCTATAAAAATTATTAGTACTCTGCTTTTCCAGTATTTAGCGATGAGTAATTATTGCATGGAATTGCAACTGAGGACATTTTTATGAGGAACCAACCTTTCTACATATTCTGCAACGTATGAAACATTTTGAATTAACTTTCTTAAAACACAGTATGCTAAATCATGCTTCCAGTAGAATTTCTCCTTTTCAATGTAAATAGGTTATTAGTATGACTTGCTAAGTAATGTTACACAATATCTCTGCATTATTTCCAAGAAAGAGAATCAATTGGGGAAAATGCCATACGGGTTGTGTACACTAGGTGGAGCACCAGGATCTCTGATTAAAGGACCACTATAGTGCCAGGAAAACTATAGTGTTAATAGATCATCCCCCCCCCACCCTAATGGCCCTCCTCCTGCCGGGCTCTAGAGGGAGGAAGGGGTTAAAGGCTTACCTTTCTCCAGCGCCGAGCTGCCTCGACGCTGGGGACTCTCCTCCCTCGCAAGAGCCATGCGCGCATTCAGTCAGTCCATAGGAAAGCATTCTCAATGCTTTCCCATGGACGCTGGCTTCTTCTCACTGTGAAAATCAATGAGACAGCCACTAAAGGCTGGATTAGCCCTAGTGTAAACATAGCAGTTTCTCTGAAACTGCTATGTTTACAGCTGCAGGGTTAACCCTAGATGGACCTGGCACCCAGACCACTTCATTAAGCTTAAGTCGTCTAGGAGCCTATAGTGGTCCTTTAAACAGTTTTTTTGGTTTTTCGGTATATGGCATAGTCATGGTTATCCTACCATGGGCAAATAATGTGGAACCTATCCTTAGAAATGTTTTATATGGTGAGACAAATGATGAGTAGAGATGTCGCGAACGGTTCGCCGCGAACTCCGGTCAGCTGACACATCCCGGCCAATCTCCGGCAGACCCTCCCACCTCCTGGACAGCATCCATGTTGAAGCTGCCTTCAGCATGGATGCTGTCCAGGAAGTAGGAGGGTCTGGGAGGGAGGGTCTGCCGGAGATTGGCCGGGATGTGTCAGCTGACCGGAGTTCGCCGCGAACGCTTCGCGGCAAGTTCGCGACATCTCTAATGATGAGTGGAACTAAACACAAACCGTGTAGTAAAGAAAATAAACCATCCCAAATTGAAGCAAAATAGGTCCTTCATACTTCTACTCGGTCATGAAAAATCCTAATAATAATAACGAAGTATTTAACCAGGAAAGGTACATTCAGCTTACTCTGGTTTGCAAGTACATCCTGGGGATGTTACCTTAACCCAACATCCAGGGGTTGTTACTATTACCTAACTTACAAATCTGTTACTGTGCCGGGGGTGGTGAAATCCTTTGCATGAGCTGACCAATAAACACCTCTGTCTGTCTCTGAAGGACACATGGGCACTTGGTGATTTGAGAGTCCTTTAAAGATTTATGTATTATTGAAATACAACATCCATCCTACAGTTTTGGATGGGTAGGCATCTATATGCATTTTAGCTCTTTTTGAACACCCAGGGTTTGCCCCCTCAACCTACAGCACACTCGGTAAGGAAGAGACCACTGCTTATTTTACTACCTCCTAATTTCCTGCATATGGGATTAGGAAAGAGATGGGTACCTAACTGTAAATGACAACCCTCTAACACAAGCATGTCAAACTCGCGGCCCACAATGGACATCTTTGCAGCCCGGCGAGCTGCAAGTACATGCTTAATGTTATCGCAGAGTAGGCACCTGCTTTCCCCACATAAAACTTACCCGGCCGAGGAGGAGGGCTAGCGAGGGAGCTCATTGTTCCTGCTCCCTCGCATGCGTCATCTGAAGTGAAGCCAGGCACCAGAATATGACATCATATTCCAGGACTCTGCATCACTAAACCGCGCGAAGGAGCAGATAGAAGATCCCCACTGGACCCCAGGGAGAGGCCCCACATCGGCTCCCAATGGTAGGGAGCAATAATGAAAATGGTGTGTGTGTGTGTTGGTCAGTGTTGCATTGGCTGCGACTGGACAGTGGAGTACCTGGAGGTGCATGGAGGCACGCAACGCCACATCACATTCCGACGTGACATCGACATGCTCCACCTTCACAGGGTTTCAAGAAGTAGCGGGAGGATCAGATTTGGCACAGGGTGCGGATGGCGCCATTTGGGGTATACCAGAGGCTGGACTCCGGAGTCACATACTGGCAGCGGCAATGTGAGTCGAGTCTGCTTGTTGGGTAGAGGGGGGACTGGGTTTTTTTTTTTTTTATACTGTACTTTTCAAAATAAACCTACGTTTCTATGAAAATGTAAGTTGTTTGGGTTTTTTCTGCGGCCCACATAAATGTAAACCTTGTTTATGTGGCCCATGCTAGACTTTGAGTTTGACATGCTTGCTCTAACATTTTCACACTCAACACTAGTCTTCGGAGGCCAAACTTTATGGCTATAGTGACTGAAGTGATTTATTGAACCATGACAATCTGCAATGCCCAGTATTGACTGTACTTACAGTATGTGGTCATTGCATCCATTATTAGGCAATATTGTACATTCTGGTAGCATTTTTAGGAAACAATATTCCATAAATGCCCTTTGATTCCTTACAAATAACCATAATTGTATTTCTACTTCTATACTAATATTTCAGAACCTGTCTGAAATATTGCAAGATATGGAATACTATATAATTTATAAAGAATAAATAAATGAAAATGTAAACTTGTTTACATTAATAAAATTATTATTTATCCATGAACATTAACCGCTGTATGAAGTTGCATGTTTATCATATGTCCATGTCAAATGTTATACTAACTTTAAAAAACAACAACTCTGTAGTGAAGTTAATTGCCTGAAATGATGTGTAAATCACAATAATAAGCTACCAGTCTTCACTGCATTATAAGCTTAATTTCTGATGCTACAACTATAGATACAAATACAACCAAAAGCCTTTAAAAAAAAAAAAAGTCCAGCATGTAACAAATAATCCTTAATGTTTAGTTTTCTTTTAGCATGTGTATCCTAAATTATATTCATTTTATTCAATATCAACAAAATTTATTATTAATATTAAAATATAGCACTAACCATGTAACTATGTTTTATTGCATATTTAAAAAAAAAAAGTTACATTGAATCAAAGGTCTTCAAAGGAACATAAACGCTTATAGCTGTGGCAAGCATGGCTGATATCTGATTTTTCCATTTAATTTTAAACCACAATATAAAAAACATTGTAGCCACAGGTAGTAATAGGAGCAAAGTGCTTATTTGTCTCCAATAACTATGATTATACGCTTGATGTACCCGGGTGTCTACTTCACAACATATTGCTCTTTAAAAAATTGCTATACTGCATTCCTTATAATTTGTTGAGTTACAGATCATTGTGCTGTCAGGTGCCAATTTCAATACACTGGAGATTCTGTTGTACTAGACTTCCATCTTAAGTGTCCGCTTTAGCTCTGCACTTCGTATTCTTTCTGTAGCATTGGCAAATGTATGTAGATACATGCAGGGTCAGTGTAAATACTCTGAGATTGCAGACCAAGGTTTCACATTAAAGAGAGTCTTATTCTGAATGTCTTCTTTTATGTTCATTACAAGTGAATCCTGAAGAAGACCAAATTCTGTATGATGGATGCATTTATTGAACAGTGTTCAAAAATCGGTGTTTAGTTTTCCTTAAAATCTAAGCGTGGGAATTACTGACTGCTTTGTTTTCATGAGTCAGAAATCAAGTGGCCCTGGAGGTGCAGCTTTAATACCTTCAAAAGGTCATTATTCTGAGTCTTGCAGACACTGTATGTCAAGTGGCTTCTAACAATAAAGTTTTACAATCCAGTTTAGTATTTATTTTAAAAAATAAAATAAAAAGAATGTGGCCTGAAGCCAATGCCAAACATAAGTTTTGGGTCTAAGAACGTCTGACAGTAAGTTATCATCATGGCAGCCTTTGACTAAACATTTGCTCGTTTTCCATAAAATGGAACCTAAAACCTCTCATTGTGTTCATGTGGAGAAAGAGAGATGAGGACAAATCAATTCTAAGGAAATAACTTTATGGTGATACTGGAAAGATGATGGTATACAGGGCTCGAGTCCTGCAGGAACGCATGGGAACGGCGTTCCTGCACTTTTTCCAAAGCAGGAACGCCGTTCCCGTTACCTGCCCTGCAGGACCGGCCCTGCTACCTGCACAGAGGGGCCAGCACACGATGTGTTCCCTCTCCAGCTATAGCTCTCGCGAGACCCGCGGCTGTTACCATGGCAACGCTCCGCACAGGCGAG